TTCGCGATGCTTTCGGGAAAAAAACAAGATTGGCCAGACATCGTTTCACTGCTCCAGAGCGATGTTGGCTGGAGGAAGGCTTGCAACAGTGCGTTCCGGCGTCAGGTGCCCCGGGCAGCGGGCAGCAGGCAGATAGGTGCATAATGCAGCGGCCTGGCGGCAGCAGCAAATGACAACCCTTGATGCATATAGTTTTGCGCGGGGTAACTGGTAACTGGCCCCCCATGGCACCGAAGGTGGTCAGTATCATGTTGCGTCTCAAGTTGTTGAGTCCGAGAGCTGGGCAAGGCACGTCTGCACTTGGCATCCGGCAATGAATTGGACAGAGAACTTCAGTTTATGTCCGTCTCGCCGTCCTGGTCGCCTCCTGACAAGATAGCATGATAGATCCCGTTCGTTCTGCAAGCGCCAGTTTCCGAATGCACATAGCTGGACCAACGTGGCAGCATGTACAGCATCAAAAAAACAAAGCGCTTGGCCGCCCCTGGCCAGCTGCTCCGCAGCAGGGGCCGAGTGACGGCCCTTCCTTGGACCTCCTCGACCTTGCTACAAACGAAGGGGCCAGTGGCCTGCCCGTCGCTGGTTGTAGAGTCGACTCGGCCGTGCAGGCATAAAAATCCGTGGAAAGAAACACAAAGCACAAGAATTTGTCACAGACGTTACGGTGCTTTAAATCCTTGTCACTAAGATCCCTATGTCCTGACAGGAGCGAAACCCAGCTAGGGTCCCCTGCATCTTTGCACGGTGGAGGTGGACCGGGCCGCGCTGAAAATCGCAGAGCGACGGAAGCACTGCACCGCCCTGAATTCGCGAGCGGTGGCACGCAGAAACGAAGTTCTGGATCCGAGATTGGATGGGGGCCACTGGAACTGCAGCGCAGTGTTGTGTCATGTTGTGTCCCTGACCTCCGGGCTCTCCGTGGGCCGCCTGTAGTGTGCGCCGCAGCGTCGTGGCTGAGCGAAACGTCGGTGGTGAGCGCTTACGTCGCAGTCCCGCGCGCCTTTGCCTGCACGGTCTGGAGACGCGCATGGCCAGCTGCTCGATCCGTTGCCGGGGCCGAGCGACGGCCCTCACGCTGGATCGGGTGTTTGACCTTGCCGCCGGCCGCTTGGTTCTGCTTCCCTGCAGTCAAAAAAAATCAAAAAAAGGCAAATCCGGTAAAAGAGGCTTTATATAAGTAACCTCGCAGCTGCGGCGGTGCAAGAGGGAAAATGGATTAAGTCTGGGGCGCATTGCTTTCCATTGCGTTCTGCGCTTAGGGCTCCCCCACGGCCAGCGCATTGCCATCGCTCTGCTCTGCACTCCCCAGGCGGAGTGCTGTGGACGGACAATGACGGACACCAAGCGCCCGGTCCTCCAATTCAAGGACAAGTCGATTCAGATCGGCCCTTGGGAATTCCGTAACTCGAACCATTTGAGAGTCTGCTTGGGGAATGGCTGGTTTTGATGTGCCGAGATGCGACTGGTGTGTCTCGAACGGGTGCTTGTGGAATCGCGTCGATCCAGCATGCAGGAGGGGATTCCGGCAGAACCCAATGATGCCACGTGTGTGTGTGTGTGTCTCGAACGAGTGCTTGTGGAATTGAGCGTCTACATGGGGAATGGCTGGTTTTGCTATGTTGTAATGCCACTTGTGTCTCGAGTTGGTGCTTGCGAACTCCAGCGTTTACATGGGGAATGGTTGGAGGTCGCGCGGTGCTCGCGCAACCTCGTGCAGGCGTCGCGCAGGCCTAAGTATTAACCCACAAGTTCGAACCCGAAAATCACCGCAAAATACACAAGCTGAGACTATCTGACTACCTGCATTCATTATCCCGTGACCAGACAGGCCCAACATACCCTTTAGGAAATTGTATCTGAGCCCCCAATTCAAACCCTTAACAACAGGTATCGGAGCAGCCCACAACCCTTTACGCAGCTATATCGGTATCACTCTTCAAAGGCCTGCGTTCCCTCGGGGAAAGGGACACGGGACCTGACCAACTGTGTGTATGCACATTATTTTCCGACTTGGGATTGCAAGCGTTGAGAGCAGGAAGCAACAAGCTTGATGATGTTTGAGCGGTCGATTGCTTCCAATTGGCCTGTGCGTTCAAGGGTGTTACCGCTTCCGGTCGTGACTCGTGACTTTTTGGCCTTCCCCCCAACCGGGGCGTTCAAAGCGGCCTAGTAGCTTCCGGCAGGGTCGGTTCGGTCTTTCACCTTTTGGCACTTCCGCTGGGCCGCATCGGTGCTGTAGCTTCCGCGCCTGCCACGCGATCGCGATCTGCTTGCGCGGGAGCCGAACGTGTTGTCATTGATCGTGAAACTGCGCCCACACGCGCTGCACATGCGCAGCACACCTGGACCTGCGCTCGGGCATGCGTGCGATGATCGTGCGATGGTCACCTGTGGAGTGGGGAGAAGTGCCGGGAGGCGTCGAAGCAGCAAACCGCGATAAGATGTGCATGCACTCACTAGACTCCACCAGACATGCGGAACTCGGCTGCTGCAGGAAGCGCAGTGACAGCCCGGGCCCGCCTGAGACAGAAGTAATGCGCGAGAAGAGAAACATTTCAGGTTACCTTCAGGGTTTCAGAAGCAAAAAGAATGCGGTGTGCAGTATCCACATGTAACCTCACAACAGCTGGGATGATTGTTGTAACCCAGACGGAAAGATCGGAAAGGCTACCCATCCACCTGACGTACTACTAGTACCTTTCAGCTGGCGGTGATTGCCAGGGGTTTTCCTGGCGTCCTTGTTGTACTGTATTGCCTGCCGGTTTTCCTGAAGTGAATCTCGTGATGTATGTTGAATCTTGCAATTGTCGTCATGGTCGTTTCCGACCTTTGCTTCCATTTCGTTTGGTGCACGCATCCGACGATGGGACCAACCCGTCGCGCATAAACAGACATGTGGCAATGTGCTCTGGCAGTGGACATGTGATGCTTTGATAATTGCTACAAGCAATGTTGTTTCGATGATTGGCAGGTGGAGTCCGACCATCGGGCTGACTTTGATCCTTTGCGCGGCAATCTGGGGGCAAGCGGCGCCACGCAAGTCTGCCCAGGGCTGTCGCAATTGGTGCCGACTGTAGGCACACAGCAGGAAAATTCCAAGACGAGCTTATATCCTGCTCTGGATAGACCGAAGACACAGCTTCAACATGCGGGGCATTTTGAAGAACACGCTGAATATGCGGGTTTTGACGTTGCATCAGATGCACCCATTGCAAATGCCAATTCCCAACCGGAAACTCGCGAGTTCCTGCACCAGTTGCACGAACAGGTGCAGATATTCCGTCATGAGGTTGGCTGCTTAGAAGATGTACGGGCCGAGAGTGCGAGTGAAGTTGCAAAACAGAAACAGGAGTTGCGTCTTCTGCAGTCGGAAGAGCAAATGCAGCAGCGAGCATGGGAATCGCAGAATGCTGCACTACAATCGCAGGTTTCGTGGCTTCAAGAAGCAACGGCCCAACGGAAGGTGCAAGCCCGTTCGTATCAGGACCAGCTGCAGACGCAGAAGCAGATGTTGGAGGAAACCAGCGCTCAATTTCGTCACGAGGCTCGCTGCTTGGATCAGGTCCGCGCCATGGGTCGGGACACAGCTGCAGAGCAGAGGCTGGAGTTGCGCGTGCTGCAGACGGAAGAGCAGATGCAGCGGAGCGCATGGGAATCACGGAATGCTGCGCAGCATTCAGAGATTTCGATTCTTCAAGAGGCCAATGCCCAACGGGATGCACGAGCGTGTGAATTACAGGGCCAGCTGCGCAAACAGGAGCAGACGGCGGAGGAAGCTGACGCGCAGTTCCGTCATGAGGTTCGCTGCTTAGAAGATGTGCAGGCGGAATGCGTGAACAAAGCTGCAGAACAGATGCAGGAGATGCGTGTCGTGCAGTCGGAAGCATCGCAGAATGCTTCGTTGCATTCGGAGATTTCGGTTCTTCTTGCAGCAAAGGCCCAGCGGGATGTACGATTGCGTGAGCTACAGGGCCAGTTACACAAACAGGAGCAGACGGCGGAGGAAGCCTTCCGTCATGAGGTTCGCTGCTTAGAAGATGTGCGGGCGCAATGTGCGAACAAGGCTGCAGAACAAAGGCAGGAGATGCGTGTTTTGCAGTCGGAAGGGCAACTGCAGCGGAGCACGTGGGAATCGCAGAACGCTGCATTGCGTTCACAAGTTTCGGGTCTTCAAGAGGCAATTGTTCAACCAGAGGCACAAGCCCGTGAGTTACAAAACCAGTTGCAGACACAGAAAGAGATGTTGGAGGAAACCAATGCTCAATTTCGTCACAAGGCTCGCTGCTTGGATGAGGTCCGTGCCATGGGTCGGGACACAGCTGCAGAGCAGAGGCTGGAGTTGCGCGTGCTGCAGACGGAAGAGCAGATGCAGCGGAGCGCATGGGAATCACGGAATGCTACGCTGCATTCAGAGATTTTGGTTCTTCAAGAAGCAAAGGCCCAACAGGATGTACGAGCGCGTGAGCTACAGGGCCAGTTGCGCAAGAAGGAACAGATGGCGGAGGGAGCTGACGTGCAATTCCGGAAGGAGGTTCGCTGCCTAGAAGATGCGCAGGCGGAATGTGCGACCAAAGCTGCAGAACAGATGCAGGAGATGCGCGTCGTGCAGTCGGAAGGGCAACTGCAGCGGAGCGCATGGGAATCGCAGAACGCTGCATTGCGTTCACAAGTTTCGGGTCTTCAAGAGGCAATTGTTCAACGAGAGGCACATGCCCGTGAGTTGCAGGACCAGTTGCAGCTGCAGAAGCAGATGTTGGAGGAAACCACCGCTCAATTCCGTCACGAGGCTCGCTGCTTGGATGAGGCTCGTGCCATGGGTCGGGACACAGCTGCAGAGCAGAGGCTGGAGTTGCGCGTGCTGCAGTCGGAAGAGCAGATGCAGCGGAGCGCATGGGAATCACGGAATGCTGCATTGCACTCAGAGATTTCGGGTCTTCGAGAAGCAAAGGCTGAGCGTGATGCACGAGCGTGTGAACTACAGGGCCAGTTACACAAACAGGAGCAGACGGCGGAGGAAGCTGACGCGCAGTTCCGTCATGAGGTTCGCTGCCTAGAAGATGCGCAGGCGGAATGTGCGAACAAAGCTGCAGAACAGATGCAGGAGATGCGTGTCGTGCAGTCGGAAGGGCAACTGCAGCGGAGCGCGTGGGCGTCGCAGAATGCTGCATTGCACTCAGAGATTTCGGGTCTTCGAGAAGCAAAGGCTGAGCGTGATGCACGAGCGTGTGAACTACAGGGCCAGTTACACAAACAGGAGCAGACGGCGGAGGAAGCTGGCGTGCAATTCCGGAAGGAGGTTCGCTGCCTAGAAGATGCGCAGGCGGAATGTGCGACCAAAGCTGCAGAACAGATGCAGGAGATGCGCGTCGTGCAGTCGGAAGGACAATTGCAGCGGAGCGCATGGGAATCGCAGAACGCTGCATTGCGTTCACAAGTTTCGGGTCTTCAAGAAGCTCTTGGTCAGCGGGACATTCAAGTTCGCGAGCTGGAGGCCGCCCTTCTGCAAGCTGAAGCGCATGCAGCTGAGCAGAAGGGACAGTTTTTGGAACAGCACCACTCATTGGAGGTAGCAGAGGTGCAACTCCACAAGTTGGAGATGTGCGAGGCCACAGAGAGCAGAACCAAGCACCAACACATGCAAGCGGAATCGCGCGTACTGAGTGTGGAATGTCAGGAGCTCAATACCAGATGGTTGGTTGCAACAGAAACCATTGAATGTCTGGAACTGGACACGCAAAAGCTCGAGTCCCAGGCTGAGAGCTTTCGTGCAGAAGCCGACGCTTACGAGTGCCTTGTCAAATCGCAGCTCCGACTGGAGAGAGAGGAGTCGACCTACAAACAAGCGCTGGCAGCATCGCGCGCAGACAGTTATGAGCAAGAAGAAGATCTTTGCCACATGCGACTGGAACACAACAGCGCTCAAATGCAGCAGGAAGCGTTGGAGTCGCAAAATGAAGCTCTGCAATCTTGGTGCTCTTCGTTGCAAGAACAGAACTTGCAGTTGCAAAGTGTGCGAGCACAAGATGAGATGCGCTGGCTCTCAGAGTGCAGGGAAACACATTTGCTTCGACAACGCTTGCTTGAAGCAAACGAGTTGCAAGCAGGCGCTTCTGGTCGGGAACCAACTCTATGTGAAGAGGTCAACTGCCTGAGAGAAGCCAATGCAGCCTTCGAGGGCACCGTGGGTGAGATCAAATGTCGCCACCGGCAGATGCAAGCAGAGTCAGAACGCCGCCGGTCAGAATGCGAAGAACTCACTGCAAGCTGGCTGTCTGCCTGTGAGGAGGTTGACTCCATGCGGCTTGGCATGTGGCAGCTGAAGGCCCAAGTCGAGAATGCACAGAAGAAGAGCGAACAACTGGTGGTTGATTGCAAAGCCTTGAAGAAAGAGCGCGCTGAAAGTCAGGAGCAGAGTGCCAGGTTGCAGCTGCATGTGCGTCAGTGTCGCGCGCAGTTAGCGGCGCTTCAGCAAGAGGTCGTGATAGAAGGGTTGAATTTCGTGCATCCGGACAGCCAAGTACGTCTTCATCAAGCAGAACGAGCCGCGCGCGCCTATGAGTTGCAGGACCAGCTGCAAACAGACCGGCACTTGTCGGAAGAAGTGCAAGCGGCGGAGCAGTTGCGCCGGCTTTCCCGCCAATCCATCTGGGGCCCAGCGACTTGACTACGGACATTGGTATTTTGATGTATTTTGAATCTTTCGCACCTGTACGCTGGGTTGCGAGTGAGCTTTTCAGAGTTTGTCGGAAACCATACGGTTGATGGAATCTGCTTGTAGCGTTCGCCAAGGCCGGCGGCCACACCACAACGGGATCAGCGAGGCAGCATATTTGCCACGCGATGAGTGTAGACACTTTGTGGAATGCTTCGGAAGCATCGAGCTTGAACTTCCTCGGTCCTTCTTCCGTTGTCATCGAAGTCACGACCAGGCAATCTTCTTTAGGGGCTTGTGTTCTGGTTCTGCTGGTGATGATTATTGAATCAAGAGCCGCCAAATCTAAGAATCCAATATAATCTTCGTGCTTTCCGGCAAGATGTGTCTCACAGGCCTGGGGCCCCTTGTAGATTTATTTCGCATGCAGGCAGCTAAACGCTTCGGATAAATTGTTCTCGATGCCGCCATCCCGGGCAAGGTCCTCCGCTCGTGTTTGCCGCTGTCGTTTGCTGCTTCGCCACTCGGCAGGCTTCGAAGTGGTATAGACAGTATGTAGATGAAGCCTGCTTTGATATCACCCAGGCTTGACATGAATCGCCGTCCTTGAGGTATAATGGGTGGCGTGACATCAAAACCTCAATCGCTCGGACTACAAATCGCCTGCTGGCATGTAGCTCAACCCAGGCCTAGGCCAGGCAATGATTGCATGGAGCAAGATGTGTTGGTTGTATCCGGTATGGAAGTTTTTCAAAGCGACGGGCTCCGGAAATACTGTACTCGCAGGAAAGAAATCTTGAGTGGCACATGCCCGAGAACCAAGCGACGTCGGATTAGTTGCTCAAGAGATCCGACATGTTCAGAACGCCCTTCACCGGACGGATCCACTCCCTCACCAAGGAAATGCTTGCTTGGTCATTTGGCGACACTGGACAGCGGAGAGGAAGTATGCACAACGCCACGCAGTTCCTTTGAGTTCTCCGGCAGCATGGTGAGTTGCATTGAAGGCTAGGGGTAGGTGGGAAACGGCCACAACGATGTGTGTGCTGCACGGAACCGCAAGAGCCAGAGTGAGAGCCGCCAAGATGTGGAAAGACGGTGGCCCTTGGCCTTGGCATTCACCGCTGCTCGACTGAGTCACGTTCTGCCGCACAAAGGGGCGTAAGCTCAGCATTTTCGTATAAGGTCTGGGCAAGGTCGAGTGAGACTGCGACATTTCGCATCCGTCATGGGCTGCATCTGTTGTACGCCGCAGTGCTGAGTGCACAGCTGCTTGGAAAAAGATCTCAACGTGACGATCATGGCATGGCCGAAGTGCTTCGAAGTGACACTGACACGCTGAGGCGACGATGTTTGCTCCAGGCAGGATCGTTTGTTTGCGGGAACTTTAGAACGAGTCATGGTGGTTTCCTTCAAGCTATCTCAAGCTTGATTACATTGTCACGGCAGGCAACCCGCTGCCTGCTGGGAAGCTCCAAAGACACCGTGCTGGTAGCTCTCACGGATGCAGCCTCTGCGCAAAGTGACAGAACTTACAAGCGAAGACGTAGTGTGGTTGATCGATTTGTGGTTGGACACCTTCCAGCGCGGCGCAGAGTGCTGGAGCTTGCCTTGCGTGCTTGGCGAGACGTATCGTGCACTTACCAGACTTATGGCAATCAAACTGGAAGGCAGCCATCGGCTCTCCAGTCAAAGGCTGGCGCGTTTTCACACGACGAGATCCGGAAGAGAGTCTGCGAAAGCAAGCCGAAGACAAAGGCCTCAATTCCAACCATGCTGTGCGGACCTTTGTTTCCAACGATTGTCAAAGAGAACCATGCTCAGTTTCTGCTGTGACTCATTCCATGTACGTGCGATGTGTGGTTTTCTTCGGCCGGTCCCACTGGAGTCCCACCGCATGAATAATATGTTGACCATCGCTGCCTGTTTACTGAACACTTTTCCTGGCCGCTGCCCCTATCCTTCTCTTGCGCTGCGTCTGGGGTCGGAAATCTGAATCGCTTTAGAGTCGCTGCTGCCGAAACGGCATTCTAACCACACACTCTTCTGTTCTAATGTGTTACGGCTTCTGTGCGGAGGAATTCCTGAGGTCTCGGCATTCTGAGTTGAACCAACTGAAAAGTCGAAGCTTTCAAGTTCCCTCTCCAGTTGCTTGCATGGAGTCTGTATATGGAACAACCCACCCAGCAAAAGTGGAAATCAACCATCACCGATCCCCACCAAGTTTCCTGACTGAGGTTGTTGCAGACAATGTCTGCTTGGCGAGGAGTCGTTCGAGCTCGGAGGGCCAGAAGCAAGTCATGAGGTCGAAGGTTGGGCCAGGAGTCAGGAGGGATACCATTCGTGGAGGTGGATGGCCTGCAGGCCAGGCTGCGGGTCGAACATCACGTAGAGTCCTAGAGCCGGCAAGGAACACCACAAAGGACAACGGTATGGCTGGTTTGACTTGAAGGTGCTGCAGATGCTGGAAGTTGACGTTGAGAGAAGTCGCCGAGCAACCTGAGCACTGATGCCCACCACAGAATGGCCGACTTTGACTCGTTGACTTAACTTGGTCTGTCAAAGCACAGCTCAACCGCACAGAGGTCAAAAAACAGTGGCTGAAGGTCGAGCAGCATTGAGTTTCTGTGAATCTTGAGTTTGGGGCAGTCTCTTGCAAATTTTGACACATCTTCGGCTTACAGTGCGTACATTTCCGTACAATGATCCGCCGGCTACAACACATACCAACTGCAAGCGCGAGCTGTGCACAGTCCAGGAGTCCTGCCGAAGGCTGCTCGACTCGGAAAGCAGCAGGTAGCCTGATCACTTGACTGGGCAAGCTCAGGAGCGGAGAGGCAGTCCCGGTGTCGTTCCGCAAAGGAGAATCCCAAGACTTGCTACTTGCTGAAGCCGCGGCCTGGCCGCAGAAGGCCCGGACGGCTATGACACCCATCAGTCCCTGCGCAGTTTTTCGGTCACATGCTTGAGAGGACATGCAAGCCCGCAAAATCAAGCCAGAACAGTCCAGAAGGCAAATGGGGCTTCTTGCATTGATGTTTCAAGAAATCGGCAGATTTCTGAACATAATTGGCAATGGGCTGGAGGGGTTTTTCTGACATGCTTGCCACAGCATGTGCGAAGTGTCTTTGTCTTACAGAAGGCTCACGACATGGCCAGTGTGCTTCACTGCAGTTGGTTGGCGGTCATGCTGTCATGCAGCTAGAACCCGACGGCGACGGAGGCTTGTCGCAACAGCAGTACCTGGGAGCCACGTCGCGTTTTGCTTAGCATTTACTGGATTCGTTGCGTGGACAGTGGATGTCTCTGTCGTCAGCACATGCAGACCTGGGTCTAAGGCGGCCCCTTACCGAGCAGATTGCTGAAGCTCAGCGGACAGCGAAAGGTCTCCTTGTGTCAGGCGATGGTGGCGAAGGTCAGAGAGAGGCGCAAAAGAGTGCAAATGGGCCATTGCTACAACCGACATCCGGTGACTCTCTGCGCATGTAAGCCTTTCGCAACCCTGACGAAAGCTGGGCTTGTGTGAAGCTACACGGTTCGATGCCCTCTTTTTGCGCATGGTACGGAGGCATGATGACTAGTGACTAGCTGACTAGCCACGGCATGTCGATAATGTCTGCAGGCGTGGGGTTTTGGGGACTTCGCCCCGATTACATTTCTTGTCTTTCAGTGTGCTTCGTAGTTTTACTGTCGCTGTGGGCCTGGTTTGAGACTGGACTGGGTCATCCTCGTCGTCATCATTCTCGGCATCATCATCAACAGCATCATGAGCATGGTCTAGCTAGTCCATGCTGGAAAGAGTCCATGGGTAAAGGCTGGCAGCCAACACCTTGCAACGAAAAAGCCTGACGGAACACTGGAATTATTCGCTGAATTGGATGATGCGCTTTCACCATCTTTGACCTGAATGCTCCGAGGGGCATGTCAAGAAGAGGTTTCAGGCGTATGAAGGCCAGAAGAACCTTGACACTGGAGCAAATACGTTTCCAACTCCACAATCCCCACCCAACCAAGCGTTCTGGCGCCATCGCCCAGCGAATCTCCAGGTAGATGGAGAGCCAAATGTTCAATCCTGGCATTATTCACCCGAAGCCCCCGACAAAGTCCATGCACCCCCTTCCTAGTGCTGGCTGTTGTGCCTGGGTCGGACAGAACAATGGAGAGGCGGTGGCCACACCATTCGTGATTCAAGCTGCTCCGAGGCGCTTCGTTTGTTATGAAATGAGCAAGCGCACAAAGGATCCAAAAAGGACGTGCTGTTTTTGACAGGTTGCCACTGCCTCCGGCATTGCGCTGCTGCATTGTCACGGCTCCGTCGCTGCCTCTCTCAAGACCGGCTTCGACGGCTTCGGCGCCCGGCCCGTTGATCCTTCGCAGGGTGAGGCTCGAGAGTTCTGGTGGACCTGCGTTGGAGGCTGTTCCGTCAAAATTCATGTCCAAACGCCAGACGCTGCGGGCTGCATAGCCCAAAGGCTGTTGTCACAGGGTTCGGTCAGTTCTGCGCAGGTCTCCGAAGGAACAGCTTGTGAGCTCTATGACTGCTTCGTGAACGGTTCTGTGAAGCTGGCCAAAAGTTCATCAGCTAAGCTGGTCAGAACAGATGTCTTTGCAGCTTGGCTAGCCATAGAGTTGGCAAACCTGCTCTGAAGCAAGAAGGCGGGATTGTGTTCAGGGCGCTGCTGGCAGCGGTGTGGAAGGCAGAGCTTTTGCACAACTCGTGCTAGCGGCTTGCACCATCCGAGATTGCGCGGCTCAGTGTGCAAGACAGTGCTGTGACAGGCAACTTTTGTAGAGTCGTTGTGGAGACAGCGAATTGCAGGTCGGCAATGGCCTTCTTCTAAGACATGGACAGGCACATGATCGGGCTTCAACTGGTTGTGGTCAGCCGGTGATGCCTCCTCCGGCTGAAGGCCGACATCTCCGATTGCACAATCCGCAACTGTGGCCAAAGCGGTTTGGTGCTGGGGCCCGGGACGTGGAGGTTGTCGGGAAATACGCTGCAACTTGGCTTGAGATGCACAGGAACGATACTTCTCACAGTTTGCGCTTCAATTCACTTGGTTGCCTAGTTCTAGCAATGGTCAGTATGGCGTCTGGGCCGAAGCCGGAACGAGAGCAGAATGGAGACCTTCGGCTGCACGTGGACCGGGTTCTGGCAGTTCTGGCTACATGACGTGGAGTGGAGGGCCTAAGGACAGAGCCTTTGCACGGGAAATTTGCTCGGCGATAGAGGTGGCCGTGGAGCGCCTCGAGAGTCCAGTAATTCTGCCACACAGCGGGACCATGAGCCGCCGTGCTGAGCTGAGGAGCTGGCTGGTTGGCAAGGGAGTGGATTAGCACCAGGTGAAGAGTGTCGCATTTGGAGCGAGCCGCGGGGTAAGTGGATCAGAGCGGAAGTGAGGGAAATTGCATCTGCTCAAGATGAGGCAGGACATGACATATGCTATGCTGGTGCACTTCCTTGGTGTTGTACGGCATGGGTAGGGCGGGCCGGGTAGGGGCTTGGCCAGACAAGTACGTTGTAGGCACTGAGCAGGTGCTCGTCTCAGTATTTTGAGTCTTGTGAAGGTCGTGGTTGCAATCAGAAAGCGAAAATTTGCGAAAACTCCTGTGGAGCCGGGCGACGATGGCCCAGATGCAGAGCACGTGATAGGAGAAGGAGAGCCTGGCGTTGAGGCGCATTCGCCAAATAAACATGTGAAGATCTATGATTTTGCTTTGCAACTGAGAGGCTGTTGCTGGAGGCCTTGTCGCGAGCGATGGAAACTTGAGCTCATATCCTGTTCCGCTTTTGCAGTCAGGTCTGCTTAAAGTGCCGGCAGCCGGAGTACGGCCATTGTGCAGTGGGGGCCGAGAGCCACCGGCATTCTCCCAGAAGGCCCGCAATGACTGCAGTCTAGTCACAGTCCTGTCTCCAATGGTGCCGCACTTAATTATTGCTTCACTTCTTTTATCTTCGTTTCTTCCTATCCCCAACAATGCCTTGCGAGGTGATTGGTGGCATGTGTTGGTGTTTCGGAGCCGTTTTGGGTGCTTGTTGGTGGGCAGCGGTGGTCGTCGTTGTCGTCGTTCGTTGTCCTAGTGCTAGTGCTGGTACTGCTGCTTCTGCTACTAGTATTATGAGCACTTCGTAGTAGTAGTAGTAGTAGTAGTAGTAGTAGTACCTAAGCGCGCCTCCAGGCGCCTGGTGTTAATCTTGCTGCTTCAGCCGTTTTACTCGGTATTTACAGTACTTTCGTGATGGCGGGGGGGGGGG